ACACCGGCGGCTTGCACAAATTAACACTTTATGACTCATGATGACAGCCAAGCCACGCAGAATGGCGCCCCAAACTAAAATGCGCAGGGTATTGGAGGTTTACACTGTTGCTTGCCATGGGTAGCTGAGCAACAGGACAGGTGTTCTTGTGTGTTAATTAGGCTTCACAGAAAGTTTTAACGGTTAGTCCAGGCCACGGAGCATAACGGACACATCAGCTCTAGTGCAAAGGACGTCCTGTGCTGCACTGCCGCCATCGACGCCTGTGCCAAGCGGCAGAAGTGGCAGCTGGCCTTGGCACAGTACCTTGGGCAAGAGTTTCTTTTGATTGAGGTCTGGGACTTTTAAATTTACATGGTTCCTTTTGGTGGTTGTAGCATTGTAGAAGTAGAGCACTAAGTTACGATATGCCCCAAATCCTTAGAATCATAAGGCCTCTTCTCTTCGGCCCACACTGGACAGGGCTGAACGGCCTTACGGCCTAAAGTCCTCACACAAATGCTGAGTACCAAAAAGAACACTTCAATGTTCTCATCATGGCGTACTTCTATCGGGCCAAGAGGAATCGAATTTGTCGTGTCCAGGGCTCCCTCGTGTGTGTATATTCAATATCGCTGTGTATGGCTGAGCACAAAAACTCCGAACCCTGAACCCTAAACCCGCAACCCTACCCAAACCCACAACCCAAAACCCTTTCCATAAAGCCCCCTAGGTTCCCCTTACAAGGAACCCTGAGTCCCTCAAGGTTTCCGAGACTGAACCATCTGTCACTACGGCACAATCGGAGATTGTGCAAAGCCCCGTAAACCAGCATAGTAATGCTCATACAATTGTGATAAGGAGCGTTTAATAGTTTAATAACCATAACAGTAAGAGCAACAAGAATACTAGCACCATGCAGCGACATAGCAATCACAATACTGGCTGAGACTAACTACAAAAAATCTAGTTTAGCACGACTCATAAGATATAGTACTATGATGAATGAAGCAGTACGAGTACAGCAGTAGTAGTAGTAGTAGTAGTTGTAGTAGTAGTAGTAGTAGTAGTAGTAGTAGTAGTAGTCGTTGTAGTAGTAGTAGTAGTAGTAGCAGTAGTAGTAGTAGTAGTAGTAGTAGTAGTAGTAGTAGTAGTAGTAGTAGTAGTGTAGTACTGGTACTAGTACTAGTAGTAGCAGTACTAAGAAGCATAAGTCTACTGGTCTTACTTATAATCGGGAGAAGTATAAATACACATAAAATGAACACGATTCTTTTGGGAGTGGAGTTAGTTATAGCATAGTTTTAAGAGCGGGCTTTAATCAGACAACTGGTAGTGGACCCCGGAAAGCCGGTTTAGCGATTTAAAAGTCCAGCAGAATTGCCTTGCCCTCAGTTTCCTTTCTTCAGGGGTACCCGCCAGTCACAATAGGCTCTGTATACGAACAGTTTGAGGGTCTAAGTGGTTTAGGCCTATTGCATGTCATTCCATCCGGGCGGGCAACTATGCACCTTCTTGTTGTGGAGTGCCGATCCTTGGTTCTGCTTCACAGCAACAAAGCTTATCCCATAAGGCTATGCACCATGACCGATGCCGCTGCACCGCCCGACGTTGTCAGCTGCAACACTGTGTCTTGGCGAACAAAACTATCGACGGACAGAACATGATCGACAAACGCAGCAATGAGTGCGACAGCAACGTGATGAAAAGCATGGTCAATGCAAGACCTTTTTGGAGAGTATGTGCTGCATATGTATCTGCGTTTGCCAATCTTGTGTGAGTGTATAACTGCAGAAGAAAGACAGACATGTATACAATCTACACCCGGGGCAGTCAACTCAGACATGACCGTGAAAGTCGCAAGAAGGTATGCATCACCCGTTGCTCGCGACTGTGCGATGTACTGGCAAGTGATTAATTACTATCGGAACAACCATGGCACCGGTGATCGCGACGGAACCGCCTCTGCGACAAGCAGAGTCGTGATTGCCTCAGGTATTTCAGAAACGACAGTCAACTGAATGGCGACAAGACAAATATGCGCAATACATAGTGATGCAAGGGTGCAGTGTTCAGGGTTTCGGTGTTATGACATATCTGTTATGAGGGTTCGCCAGAGAATCATCGTGCGCTTTCAATGCTGAGGCCGAAACCCTAAACCCTCAAACATAAAGCCGTAAATCCTAAAACGAAATGCTAATACTGAAGCGAAATCCTAAACCCCAAAGCACATGTTACCAATTGGCTATGAAGCTGTAGCCGCTTTCAGCTGTCCGACCAAGGTACCCTGCAATGCGGGCTCGTCCTTGCTAGGTAGCCCTAAGTGTAATTTAGTATATACTTGGCCGTAATGTAGTCCCTATATAGGTACTTTAGGGCTCATGTATCTCTATATGGGTACATGGACCCTTAGGGTAGCAGGGAAGCCCACGGTAGGGCCTGGGGGCTCCCAGGTCCTGGTCGCTTGCCAACTGGCTGGGAAGTGGCAGCAGGTGGGAGTGCGACCTGGGCTCGGGGTTGGGGAGTTTTGTGTTAGGGGTTTGGGTTTGGGTTTAGGGAGTTTGGGGTTTAGGGACTGGGGGTAGGGAGTTTAGGGAGTTTGGGGTTTAGGGTTTTTGGGGTTTAGGGGGTTTGGGGTTTAGGGGTTGGGGGTTTGGGTTCAGGGATAGGGAGTTAGGGAAGGTTCAGGTTCGGCCCCCCAAACAAGTCATCAAGGCAAGTATAGACGGAGTCTGGCTACTTTGCTCTAGGCGAACCCCATGCGTGCAAAGACAATGCCAGTAGTATGTCAGAATGGTCACCCATCAGATGCAGCAAAAAGCCTTAACCCCAGTTATCTAATTCGTCAGCCCTAAACCCAAAACCCCCAGGTGCTGCAGTTGGCCTCTGCCGCTTGAAACCATGGAGGGGATGTTTAGGGTCAGCGGGTGCTGTCTTTTTTTGGTTTGTGGAGAATGGTCCTTTGTCCGGCATGCCATGGCAATCCTATCCTCAATGAAGGGGTTTCGTAGTCCTTGTGGGCTTAGAATAATTTCGCCCTTCGTGGTGTAGGTGTTGACAATCTAGCCGCTAGCCCCCATTCGGGTCCTTGTTCAGACCGCGCTTTCCGTGAACCTAGAATATATTGATGGTAGTTCAGGCTCCTTTCAAGAAGCTCAGGACATGGGAGACATTCGTTTGCACGCAGACATATTGACAATGCAAAGCTCTGCCACGACGTGCCTTCGGCTAATACACTCTCAGACGAGGCTTCTTATAATCAGGGTTATGTTGCCAGGCTTTTTCATGAAGGCTCCTTTTATTTAGGGTCGGTTTAGGGTTTAATTAGGCTCTAAAGGTCATGATTCGTGAGTGAACCTGTTCTGCGAAACTTTCGGTTGTCCTGTCAGAGGCTCCCGGTCGTTCTGGGCCCGAAGCTCAAAACCATATTGTAATTCTGAAGGCCCTACTTGGAGGTTCATGGGTAGTTACAAGTGGGGTTATAAGTAGCGTAACTACTTAGAACCCAGATCAGGCGACTTATAACCCCACTTATAACTAACTACGCATGAACCTCCGAGTACCCCTGCAAGGAACCCTTTTGAATGAGCCCTTCCGAAGAAGCCCCGACATCCGAATGGCCAAGCTGACAGGGCGACGGTTTTGGGGTTAGTATAGGGGCCTTAATGATTACCGATATTATTTTGGGGGATCCATGGCACAACTAATTATTAAGGCCCCTACATTGCAAATTTCGGGCTCAGGGTAGAGGCTGAGTGCATACTGCCAGACTTGAGGCTTCAAACTGCCTCGTTCAATCTCTGGGGAATGGAGTTCAGGGTCTTCCGAGTTTAGGGCACCGGAGTTAGGGCCTTGCACTCAATTAACATGTGCTGATATGGTAGTAGCAAACTTAGGTAAAACGTCATACGGTGTTTTTGTTGACTTCGAAGTGGGTGCTCGATGTCACACGATTTATGCCAATCTACTGAAGGCGTTTGGAATACTTCGCAATGATAGCCCAAACCAACCCTAGATAATATTTCTATAGTTCGAAGCCGTTCGGTTATCATGCACGGAACCCTGTTCAATCGTTGCGGCCCCTTGATTAATTATGGCGTTACATGCCGTCAACGTAGCGCCTGGTGAGGTATTGCGAAGGGGGGCAGTACGTCCACACGCTCTCAGCATTGGAGCCGATTGCAGGGAGGGCATCGATGCTGATGTGGCAGATTAGTGGAGAAAAGCTGCGCTTTGGACATTGGGCCTCACCTCTTTCGTGGTGGGCCTGCCTGTGCATGCTATAAAAGCTTAAACCCTAAACCACAAATCGTGGCAGAAGGAAAAGGGGCGAGTAAAACAAAAATCACAAATCGAGAAGTGTACCGAAACCCTTAAGGCTATATTCATATCCGGACAGCGAAGGTTGCCCTATGCCTGTATTGCAGCAAGACTACCATGCAGAGACTCGAAAGACCTGAGTACCCTGACAGTAATATAGGGGCCTCTCTAATAGTAATATTATAAGGGTTCCTTAAAAGGGGTCTATAAAGGTTACTCTAAGGGCTACCATGAGGGTTGTATATTAGTGGCCTTAATAATTAGCTATACTGCTTTGGCGTGTCCTTATTCTAAATACAGTACAAATGGGCCCCAAAACCCTATTCTAATTATTGTGGCCGCTACATTACCGTGTTTGAGCCTCGGCAACCGTCACACCCTTACTTTAAGTCTTTTCCCCGCATGTAGCCCATTCCAACTTGACTGCTCTCTTGCTGCATGGTTCGGGTCTACCTGGCCAGGGCGGCCCAAAAGACAGGGCAGAGATGTTGAGAAACATGGCTCCCTAAACCCTGAACTCTACTCCAAGCAGGCTTTGGACTTTGGCCACGAGCTTCTCTTGCAGCCCGCAGATGTCCTGAAAGAGAGAAAAACTGTATTGTTCAGTTTCGGAAGCTGGAGAGCACCTGTAGGCCCTCTAGATACTTCTTAGGGTTTAGTCTGTTTGGTAGTTCAGGCTTTAAGGCACCTTTTTGGCTAAGATGGCCATGCATCTCACTTTTTCTTGGCTGCTGCTCTGGCTTCCCAATGCGGCGGCCGGTGCAGGCGGAGAAGTGAGGGTTTCAGGTTTCGGGTTTAGGGGGCAGCATTATCTGGCGGCGCTGTCCAGATTTAGTTTGGCAGTGCCTGCTGCCCAGCCGATCAGCAGAGTCTGGGTTCAAGAAGGGGGCAGCATCAACCTGTAACCTTTGTTTGGGTGCCTGTATCCCTGTATGACCCCCCAAAACAGTTTTTGTTTGCCTGGACGGGTACGTCATAATCGTGGCCTAAATGTTCTGTATTAGTATCCCCTGACAGTGCCTTTATGGCCCAGTTATGGCATACTATGCCTCAGAAGCCCTTGCTTCACCGTCTTAAGTTCGATAGACAACAAAGTGTAGGTTTCAAAGTTTTGCAATTGCTTCAAGGAAGGTTTCTGCAAAGTTGGAAGTGGCAGCAATCGCTTCGTCCGAGATGCATGTCTTTGGGTTCAAAACCTTGTAGTTGCTTCAAAGAAGTGGGAAGGCTTCTGGTTTAGAAGGAGCAATCGCTGCGTTTGTGTAGAAAAAGGCTTGTTCGACGCTTCTGTCGGAAAGCTCCTTGTCATGCGGTCCCTAGTATAAAGATCACAAAAGGGAACCCGACCATTCAGAAGCCCCATATAAGATCCTTGTGCAGCCGTGTAGAATCCCATGACTCAGTGGTAGAGTAGGAGAGTAGGTATAAGCTTCAACCTTGTTCGGGGTACCAGAGCCTCTATATATTCCCAAGGGGTCAACCTCCAGTTCAGCCAGGGTACTATTGTACACAAGTAGGGAAGCCAGCATCTTTATAGACTTTTTTAAGAAACCCGGTATAGGGCCATTTAAGGAGTTTTTTTAGATATACAGAACCCTTTGAAAGAATCCTTATTTGGGAACCATGTTTAAGGAACCTTAGGGAAAGTAAGAGCAAGACAACCCTATAGGACCCTTTGAAAGAATCTTTTTTTGGAATCGGTTTAAGGAACCTTAGGGGAAGTTAGAGCAACACAGGGTCTGGCAGCAGCCAGGCGGGAGCGATGCGCCGGGAATTGAAACGGCCAGGCTCTATGGAAACCTGAATGCGCAACTTGGTTTCTTGAGATTTCTTGAGGGTCTTGAGTCTAGGTTTTGTGAGGGTTGTAGGTTGAGGGTCCTGAACCCAAACCCCTAAGATCCTTCTACGGAGTCCCGGGAGAGATGTCTTGAGGGTCCTGAGTCTTGAGTCTGGGGTTTATAAGGGGTTGTAGGTTGCGGGTCCTGAGCCCAAACCGGGAAGATCAGACCCGGGAGGCATTATGATAAAGTAACCCAGGCCTTCCTAAATCCCTGAGTTCAGGAATAGACCTTCATTCATATTCGGATCCTACTATAATCTAAGGTATATATTCCTTGCTTGAGGGATTTTGGAAGGTCTGGGAATGGACCCTTAGTTTAAGCAGACTTTGCAAACCAAGGAGACCGGAAACACAGCTACTCTCTGACTGTCTGGACTTGAAGAAAGCCTCAAACCTCACAAACCCTGCCTAAACCCTAAACCCAGTCCTCTCTGTACTTTGAGAAAGCCTTAAACCTCATTTACTTTACCCCTAGAATCCTAAACCCAATCCCAGGTATGCCTACTACTTCACGGATCTTCTCGTTGGGTCGCCTCAATCGCAGCCTTGTGTTTGCAGACGATGGCTCTTTTCCAGGTAAAAAAGCTTCAAGTGAAGAGTTCAGGGTTAAGAGTTTATGGCTCCGGAGAGTCAGTCGTTCCGGGTAATCGGTAAAGAGGCTTCACAGGGTCTTGGGCTTTTCGTTTAGGGCTTGGAGTTTAGGGCCAAGCTTCATGAGCGACCGACTCCACGCAAAAGTACGAAGCCTGTTGCAAAAGGGCTAAGAGTCTAGGGAGTTTAGGGTTCAATGTTTCGGTTTCTCGGTTTGAGGGCTGTGTGTTTCGGGTTTGTGTGGGCTTTTCTCTGCTGAGTTTTGAAAGGGTCTCGAAACATGCGAGAGGCTTTGAGCATGTCAGGAATGTTGCTTCGGGTTCCTTTCAGATCCTCAGTATCGTACTAAGGTCCCTACAGCGAGGGTTCCGTGAGTCAAGGGAAAATTGCTTCGGAGCGCACCGCACGTGTATGCCGTTCTGTTACTTGGAGGTTCATGGGTAGTTATCAGTAGGGTGATAAGTAGGGCCGGGTAGCTACACTCATAACCCACATTAGGGGACTTATTGCCCCGCTTATAACTACCCTAAACCCTACACCCTAAACCCTTATCACCCCACTTATGACTACCCACGAACCTCCAAGTAACGCTTCGGGGTTGGAGTTGCGCCTTGCGACATGAACGACGTCGCCCAAGCGACCTGTTTCGGAGCACTTGCAGTCAAGTCCGTGCAGGCAGCCAAATGGAAGGGCTATGCTAGAGATTCTAGAGATACCACGTATGACAATTCGTAGAGACACCGAGAAAGTAGTGCTCCAGAATCACAAGAATTATCAATAATGAAACGTTTGGGCGTCTAGGGAGCCCAAACCCCAAACCATAATCCTAAACCCAAAACCTTAATCCAACAAGACCTCTACCCTGCAATGCGGGCCTCGGGAAAAATCCAATAACCGCAAGCAATCGAGAGAATCAAGGCTCTGAACGGAAACCTCCAACCCGAACCTTAACCTCAACCCTTAACCCAAAAACACTCCTCAAATCAAGGCTCACTTCGGTAATCATCGATACCGGCAGCCACCTGCTGGGCTTTCCTTGTACCTTTGGTCCCCTCAGAGTTTTGAAATTCGGGCTTCGGCTTCCTTGAAGGGGCTTGATAGTTAGAATAGGGTTTTGAGGCCCATTACACCATAGTTATAATAAGGATTCCCCATAAGGGCCTTAGTACTTAGAATAGGGTTTTGGGGCCTTTATGGGGGTTCAGCTTGGAGGTTCGTGGGTTGTTCTAAGTGGGATTATAAGTAGGGCATCTATACTTCTAACCCTTATTCGGGGACTTACAACCCCACCTACTGGCCATGAAATGGGTAGTTATGAGTGGGGTTATGAGAGTAGTAGGGTGGCTTTACTCATCATCCAGATTAGGGGACTTACAACCCCACTTAAAAAACAACCCATGAAGCTCCAAGTATGGGGCTCCTGGGCTTCGAGGGTTTGGGAGAGCCGGGCTGTGAGGGTGAAGGGTCCAGGGCTCTACCCAGGGGCCCCAAAGTAGTTCCTTTTTGGGTGTGTCCTCTTGTTTGGTTAGGGACTTGAACATACTATCTAAAAAGGAGCTACTTTGGGGCCCCTGGGTAGATTCAAGGTGTTCGGAGGGGGAAAGCGGGGAGGTTTGGACAGGCATAGCAGTCCCTTGATCGCTTGACTATTGCAACCTCTTAGTATACTGCCCTATTCCACCTAGAGATTCGCATAGCGGTTCAGCCTCGGCCGTAGAGACACACCTCCTCCCAGTATGCGTTCCTGAAGCATGCAACCTGGTCTGTGAAGCTGCTGCAGCCTGGGCACAGTGTTCTTTTCTCGGGAGAAGCCGTCGGCATCACAAGCAGGGGGGCTGAAACTCATTATTGGATTGAGACATATTGGGCACAGTTCGAACATGCTGTTTCAAGTTTGTATCAGAGGAAAACAAGAGCCACCACAACAGCCACAACAGCGACACGAAGCAAACTAGAGAGCCATAGCAGCCCTGCACGACTGAGGCGGTGGCTGCGACCACTGTGGGAATCACCTAGCTCCTCGGCTTCCGCTTTTCGCGGACCTGTTGTGTGTGTGTGTCCGGACTAAGTAGAGGAAGGGCGTGTAGGGCTTCAGCAGAGCTAAGCGGGGGCGATGGTGGAGCTGATGTAGCGTCTTGCAGGGTGCTGGCGGGGTGATATACGATATACACGTTATATACTAACATACATATAAACATATATATATATATATATATATATATATATATATATGTATACATATGTTTTCCATTGAGGCGGATATGTAGAGCGTATGCTTTTCAAAGCCAGATTGTGTCGTTTTCAACATCGGTTGCAACTCCACCCCCAAATCTTAAACTCTGAACGGAGAGTCAGACACATTCGACTTCAGGAACCAGCCATCGACGTCGGCAAGTCTCAAACGGCGGAGTGGATGCCATGCTGCTGAGCTGATTGCAGTTGTGCGAACGCTTTGTTCCGATCAGGGTGCTGTGGGTATGTACTGGGACGGGCTTTACGGTTTAAATTTCAGGGTAGAAGCGGAAGACATGGATGCTTCATCGCAGTCATCCCAAGCACCTGGTGAAGGCCATGCTGCAAGCGTGCGTCCTTGTCCAAGGCACTGGCAAGCCGTTTTGTGATGGCTGTTCCGAGAACAGGCCCTGCACAGACTGTGTTTTGTCGGAGGTTCATAGCTGATGGAGTTTCTAGTAATTTCACAAAGTTGGTAACCCTTTTTCCTTGCCTAAAATGCAAGCTATTGGGAATGCTGCTACCGCTCATCCAATTCCCAGTTTGTAATTTCGTCGAGATTCAAACAAAGCCTAAACCGGAAAAGCGCTAATCCTTCATGCAGCCATTTCGGAATCGACCTCTAAGCCAAAGACACCGTAAGCCTTAAACCCGGACCCAGCTAAGCGAGGGGGGAACCTTGAATCGTAGACCCCGAAACACTAGGCCTCCTACACCTGAACCCTAAACCCCCAAAAAGGCGAAACCCAAACGAAAAACCCAAGTGGGCTCATCTGGGAGTTTCCGAAAAAGGGGACCCTAATATAGTACCGCAAATAGTAGGATCCCTATTATAAGGACCCCCAGGGTGGGGCACCCCTAATTTTGGGAAACTCCCGTATCGCTGTCAACGCAGCAGAGAGATCAGCTGTCATCCCAGTGTGTTCACCCTCACTGCCTACTGAAGCAGCACCCCAAACCCTTGACCCTGAACACCCTACTTGAAGGTTCATGGGTTGTTTTTAAGGGGGGTTATAAGCTAATATGGGTTATAAGTATAGTTGCCCTACTTATAACGCCTACTTATAACTACCCATGAACCTCCAAGCAAATCCTAGGTCCTAAACCCTTGTGGCATGCTCTTTTTCTTGCCCTTGCCCGGAGGTGTAAGTATCAAGAAAAATACTCCGAAGGGCGACTTGTCTTTGTGAGTTACGGCTTGGGGTTCACGGCTTGGTTCAATTATCCGGATTTTCGCATGGGCGGTGAGCGCGAGATGGCAAGGGAAGTCGTTTGGCTTTATGCGTTTTACCCCTGTAGTGCTGAGATGAAGTTGCCCAACACGACTATATCAAGTTCGTGGTTTCTGGCCGTCCAGTGCTGGCCCTTCTTTTCTGGCTCAGGTGCTTCGGGGGTGGATCCGGGGTTTCATTGCCACGAACACCAAAGTTGAAGAGATCTGGATTTGAGTGGCTGCGTCGTCATCTTCGCCTGAGTCTCGCATGTTCGCTGGCTTGTAGACCTTGTGGATTTAGGGCCTTGATCTGAGACTTTCAGGTTAAATAGTTCAGTAGGGGTACCGTACATAGGGATCTCTGATCGCTACAGCGATCCTCGCAGTAAAGATCCTACTACTCCTACTCGATATGGGAGTTTCTGAAAATTAGGGAATGTAGTGCCCGAAATAGTAGGATCCTTATTATAAGGACACCAGAATAAGGTACCCCTAATTTTCGGAAACTCCCATATGGGGCTCCTTACTTCCCCATCTCTGTCCTGACATGACTTAGAGGAGCCCTAAGGTCCCATGTACCCTTTAAACAGCATATACCTTGACCCCAAAGTAGCCATATGGGAGTTTCCGAAAATAGGGGACTTCAATGTAGTACCTTAAATACATAAGATACCCCTGATTTTCGGAAACTCCCATATGTGGTCTACTTTCAGACCAAAGTATACGATTTGGGTACATGGACCCTTAGAGGAAGCTACGAGGTGGTTTCGATCGGGTTTGAATTGGGGACTCCGTAGCGTAATTATATCCACAGCCCTCAACCCTTGTTCTTGCTGAACACGTAACCCTTTTAACCCGGGTGGTAGATACGACTCCACCCATAACGACAACAGCGAGCCCTCCATTGCATGCGTCAGCTCGGCAAGTATGCTAAGCAGACTTGACCAAGGAGTGCGATATCCGGTCATTGGTTCGAAGACTATGCACCTTGGCCTCTGATCCAACGGCTTCTTGTGATTTTCAAAAGCCGGAGACTCCAAAACACTTCATTAAAGATCAAATTAAGTTTAAATAACTAGCCACGTGAGTCTGTAGGGTTCCTTATCATCTTTGTAGCATTGTATACCCCAACACCTCAAGGCCCCCTGGATTTCAGATCGTAGTTGGATCCTGAGTTGGCTTCGCGAAGTAGCTCTCCCAGTGTGCACTGTTTTCCTTGTCTGTGGTCTACGGTTAACTGCCTACACTAGAAGCCAGAAAGTTGGAACATCATTTTCCTCATGCCCCTAAGGTAAACTATAAGGGATCCTAGCCCTGTTCCTCCTAAATCCAAACTTTCTGGGATTCGCTGTAATCCTGGCTTCCCGGGATCCTAGCAAAATACACACTGAAAGGGTGCAGGAGTTTCTTGGAAGACGACGAGCAGAGTCTGTTAATGTTTCTCGGGAGCTTAGCACCTAAAGCCAGCTTCTTCGGGTTCAGAGGGTTGGGTCTACATTGGAGGTTCATGGGTAGTTATAAGCGGGGTTATGAGTAGTAGGGTAATTATACTTGTATCCCAGATTAGGGGACTTATAACCCGACTTACAACTACCCATGAACCTCCAAGTCGAGGGTAAATTAAGAGCTTGCAGGGTTTTGCATGTGGGGTTTCAGGGAAGTTGGTCTCTGAACTCGAGTCGCGACGTTCCGCACGTTGAAGTCTCGTGCACACTGAGGGATAGGAGCTACGCAGTTTAAGACTTAGTAGCTGCGTGGATTCACTGTACACTCTTTGGGATAATATGACCCACTATAAAACTAAAAGTGTACACTTTTATTGGGGGCTTATGAACTCAGCAACTAAGGACTCTAAGGCCTCGCAGGAAGGAGGCCTGCGGCCCTAAGCCGCCTTAAACACCAATTGGGAGTTTCCGAATAGAGGGGACCCTATAATAGTGCCCTATATCGTAGGTTCCTTACTCTAAGAACCCCAAACTAAGGTACCCCCTTGTTTTCGGAAACTCCCAATTTAAGCCTGAGGGATTCGGGGGCTCAACGTCTGTTCCGAACAAGAGAGACTCCTCAATGCCTTCTTATGCAGACCATATAAAATTTGATAGGAACTCGCAAAACGTCAAGCACCAAAACCTTATGAGCCCTTAGACTACAGCTTTGCGCCGCCCTTTCAGACCGTGAAAACCTGAAAAAAAACCCTCAACTCTAAACCCTACACCCTCAACTCTAAACCTCAAACTCCAAACCCTAGCCTTGCGTACTGCCCCCACTCTGTAACATGGATAAAGCTTATAATTAATCTACTCACAGAAAGCCCTTATACAGACCCCTGGCATAGACTATTACCGGGTTGTGGCAGTACCCAACTTTAAGCCTTCGACAGTGGCGGAGGTGAAGCTCGGGGACGTTTTCCAAGAAAACCCACCGGTCAAAGCTCGCATGGGCTGCCACGATTCGGAGACTTTCGGCTGCGGTTTAGGGTGGTTTGGGGTTTACGGGTTTCACGGTGAATATAGGGGTTTCGAGCACGTTTTGGGAGGGGTATACGGTGATTTGGGGCTTACTTCACACTCCCAAAACCTACTTGCTTTAGGGCTCCTTATCATGACTTCCGTATAACTTATAAGAGTCCTTAAGAATGCAAAGTCCGTTGCTTTGGGGCTAAGGTAGGGTTTAGTTTAAGGGTTCGGTGTGGTTTACGCTTTTAGGGATGAGGGTTGGTTTCGTGGGTTAAGGGCTTAGGGTGGTCGGGGGAGTAGAAAGCTTCGGAATTCGGATTTTGCGATTTTGTGGTGTAGGGGTTTGGGTCGTTTCAGAAATGGTATGTGCGGAGCTGAATAGCTCGGTATCTCCGAGGGCGGACTGATCTCAGAGCTAGGAAGCAGGTAGGAACGGTCTCTCGCCAGCTGGGTCGCAAGACAAGAGTTCGACATCACAATGAACATTCTACAAAGGTTTCGGCTGTATGGAACCATAGCTGCAACGGAGTCATGCGGAACTGGTTTGCATCAGTCTTCATGGCTTTTGTGTGCCTGAGGGTGATGATGGGATGCTTAGTGAGCCAGAGTTTGGTTTGTTTCAGCCTTTAGGCTTTTACACGACCCTGGTGTACTTTCTGGTAGCTGCTGTAGTGAAGTGCTAATCTCGATGAACCCATTTGCGAGGATTGGTTTGTGCCGTGTCCTGAACACTAAACCCTAAGTCCCACCTAGCACCCGGGAGGGAAAAAGCAACCTAGCACCCACTTATGGCTTCAGTCCTGCACCACCTTTTTTCGGGTTGGATTAGTGTTTGAGGTTTTAAGTTAGAGTTTCGTAAGGTTGTCAGGTTGTGTGTCCGCCTGTGTTTTGTCGCGGGGTGGGTTTGTTTTGGTGTGAGGGTTTGTGGGTTAGGAGTCAAAGGTTTCCTTAGAGTTTACGGTTTAGGTTTAGGGGTTAGGGCTTTGAGGTCCGGGTCATTTCAAGGCTCAGCGCACCTAAGTCGCGGTTTTTGTTGGTGCGCCTCTCAACTTAGAGGGAGGTAGCCTTGAGGGTTCTTGCAGGAAGAACCCCAGTATGTAGGAGTTTTTTTCTGAACCTCCCATTTGTGCATAGCTTTGTTATGAGCCTCCACGACTGGTTCCTAACAACACCTTTGTCGAGGAGCTACTCCAATAGTTGGAGAGGCGACTTTGTCTCTGTTACAGTAGGATGCAAAAGTGTTACGCTCCTATTTGGATATGCATCTGTCGTCTTAAGACAATTGTATATAGGTTGTAGCCTTGTTTGCGTTCTCAGATTTCGATTCCAACAGTACTTCTTTATTGATGGATGTTCTTCTAACTTCACATGGCTCAAGCTTGAAGCCTAGACCTTATATCTCCCATAAAAGCGACCTCGAAACCTTGTCGTTTGTGGGTTTCTACCTTCGAAAGCAGGTTTTGTCTTGAGTAGAGCCATAACACACCTTCGAAGCGTAAACCCTAAGCCCTAAACCCTAAAACCCTAAACCCTAAACCCTAAACCGTGGGCGTGGGAATGTCCAGGATCCTCCAAGGGTATCTTTATGGAGGGCATTTGGGGTATGATAGAGGTAGTTGGGGGGGTCGGATAATATTTGTAGTGTTATTCCTGGTATGCCATACCGCACCCCGAAGGGTTCCTTAAGAAGGCGCACTCTCATCTACCCCAAAACCGTATTGTAGCGATCCAGGCCCCTGCGTTAACCAGACCTAAATTGGCCCTAAACCCTCCACTTCCTGAGCCGAGCCAGGAATAAGCTCTTCTTCACCCAAGAAGCCAACGGCATCATGGGCCTAGCGCCGAAAGATGGGTACCAGGCGAGAGGGACGGCTTATAGGGTTCGATTCAACTGCCTAGGGCTTAGGACAAGCTTAATAGTAGCAAGATGCCCTGATATTCCCTTGGAGATTCGCTGTAACCTATTTCAACTTCTATTCTATGCCAATCCCCAGGCCGCTAATTACAGTAGCAATGGGGTATCGGAACAGGCAGGCAGAGTAAGGCATGAGCTTGATGTGCTTGGCTTCGCAGCAGTAGCTTCAGGGTTGAAGCTTTCAAGCTCGAAGGTCGTATGCTGTACAAGTGCGTAATTTCTCTTAGTACCAATATAATTAACTAAAACTACAAGAAAATGATCGAACGAATGAACAGATAGGTGTACACATGTACGAACATACATACGCAACGTATATACACGTACGCATTCACAGTTGGTTTCGATGTTTTATGCTATCTGTCTTTCCCGGAATGAGAACAAGTGTGGACTAGCACACGTAATATAGGATTGTGTTGGTTTCAGGACCCGTGTGTAAGCCCCAAGCCCTAGACTAAACCCTAAACGACCCTCCAGATGGAGGGCTGAGCAGAAAAGAGCCGTAAAAAAGCAACTAAAACAATCCCTATTCTACTATTTGCTTAAGAAACCACCAAAAAAAATAATAATCCCTACATTACCCCCATAAGGAACATATTTTTTATTTTTTGGGTGGGTTCTTAAGCAAATAGTAGTATTTGGCCTGTTGAATACGAGATGGTTTCTCTGCCAGATGCCAGCAACTGCGAACATCTTGCAAGATCTCTTTCGCAGCCTGGCTTACTTCGTGCAGAGGATTGATAAGGCTGCTTACAGGGTTCTACATGGTTTCCTGTAACAGTTATGTCTCCATTGAGCTCGCACTTCCCTTTATCTTGGTCGTCTGCTACGCAACCTTCAGCCTTCCCGGGTTAGTAGAATCCCAATATATGCCATTGTAACAGTAACCCACACCCCCGGGAGGATCCAAAAAGTAGATCCCTTAATGGGGGTTCCTATAAAAGTACCCTTTGTCGTATACGGCCCCAAATTAGGGGATCTACTTTCTAGATCCTCCCGGGGGTCTGGGAAGTCCTGGACGCCTGAGCTATTCTGCAGATTTTTCTTTTTCGGAGCCAGGGCTATAACTCAGGGTGAAGTGTTCTTGAAAGCCACCTGTTTGAGTGCAGTTGAAAGGCTTCGCCCTGTACTCTTCTGGGTGGGTGGTTGTCAACATGATGGTCCTTTTTTGGGTAGCCTAAATATTAGGTGCCGTACTACAATAAGGACCCAAAAAGGGGCCCTAATATTGACAACCACCCGGGTCTTTCAATTTTCGCACCATGCAAGTCAGCTTGAACTCATGAGGCCGATGGAGACCCTAAAGTCGTGCTCCTGATGAAGATGCGCAGGGTACTTCAAAGGGATGACAAGACGCCTAGCATCCGCTGAGCCGGGTCCTGGGTACTATCCCAAAGGGTCCCAGGTACTATTAGGGGGGATACTTCCCCAGATCATAATGGTAATTCCTATTGTAGCAACCCTATATATCTACTGTAAAGGTACTTTGGAGCCTTTGGGTGTAGAGGATTGCTTGTTCATTGGGATACTGCGTCCTTGACATTTTTCTGCTCCTGATGCTACTTCATGGTAGTCGTGCCTTCAGAAGGCACAAGCGTTGCTTCTTCGCAGCGATACTCTAAAAGCCCAAAGCAGTAAACCCATCATTCACGAAGATACCTTGATACGGGCTCCTCCGACTGTTTGCTGCTGCTTGCCGGATCATTCGAGTCGAAGAGGCTTAGGGTTTTGGGTGTTCGCAACGAATCCGCAAAGGAGACAAGAAGCACGTGGACGCCTCTGTCTTCTCGATCTGCCTGGCTACGTGGGGAGGGCTTTTGTCGGTGGGGGGCGACAACGCCAAATACCACACTGCAGGCCTCCTTCGGGTTCCGGCTTTCCGTTTGGATGGCCCTAAACCCAGAGAGCCCAAATACCCCTTACTTAAGGAACATACCATTAAGGGGCTTCATAGTGTGAGTTCAGCTATATTCCCTAATTAAGGGGTATTCGGCTCTCTGGGATTCGGGTTCCGGCTTTCCGTTGCGATGGCCGTAAACCTCTCTTGCGCGCATGGGCACACACACACACTCACAGACAAAGCTGTGAAGCGGCTGAAGCCGGAGCCATCCTAGTCCAAGACCGTAAAGTTGGAAAGCCCAGTAGCCCTTACTTGGAGGTTCATGGGTAGTTATAAGTGCGGCAGAAAGTCCCCTAGTACGGGTTATAAGTATAGTTACCCTACTGTTGACCCTACTTATAACTACCCATGAACCTCCAAGTATCTCCAAACCGTGGCAAAATTTTCGAACACTATTCCTTCCCTGAAGACTCATTTCTCCCAGACCAAAGCCCAACCTGACTATGCGGGTAAGCGTTAGTTAGGCCTTTTAATGGGTCAAGGGATCCAGATGGTTCGTGTCATGTAGGGTTCAGGGTGAAGGATTTATAGGGTTACTTGGAGGTTCATGGGTAGCTATAGTGGGGTTTTAGGTCCCCTAATAGGGGTCATAAGTGTAGTTACCTTAGGTATAACCCTGCTTACAACTACCAATGAACCTCCAAGTAAGGGTGCAAGGTTGAGGCGATGAAAATCACCCTTCGACGACTCTGCAAGCCTGTGTAGCTTTGCGAAACCCAGATCATCCCAGATCTGTCATGGGAGAGGCATGAATTGGATTCCCATGGGAATCAAAGGCCGCATGGCTTCAGATTCACCTATAGTCTGCATTGTAGTTTATTTTTTGGTTAACCAAAATCTTTACTATAGGTTCCTAACCATAAAACAGGTTAGCCAGAAAAAGGAACTACAATGGAGACTATAGGTAGGGTTTCGGGTTTCGGGTAGCTGGGGTTTAGGTGTTCAGGGATGGTCGGCCTGGAAGACAAATTGTCTAAAACGTGTCCCTTGCGGGCTTTGCGGGTTCAAGATTTGGGCGTAGGACACCAGAAGTTCAGCTTGCAAACAGGGGTTTAGGGTTAAGGGTTAAGGGGTTTGGGTGGCCAGACTTGAGACCAGTAGCAAGAAAGGGGTTTGGGGGTTGAGGGTTTGGGTAGGATTTAGGGTTCAGGGTTGTGCCGCGAAGTCCTTGAAAGCATTGGTCCGTAGAGCCTTGAGAAGCAAAGGGCTTAACTTAAAGGGACGGGAGCAGCAATTCCAGCAACCACTATCTCCAATTGTGTGTCCCTGGTGGTTTTAATTGGTTTAGGGTTTAAAAAGTCTTACCAAATTTGTTCCTTGCGATTTTAACTGTGTTGAAGGACGTAATACTAAAGAAACCCTTTTATTTACGAGTTATAGTTCCGTATCATGGCAACTTAAACCTTGAACCCTGAACCGGTAAAGAGGGTTCACCGAAGAGCTGACCAAAACAAGGATCTATAGCAAACAATATTGTGCTTTCTTTAGTATGGCTTGCATTAAATTTTTAATGAGACTAAACACTCAGCCCCAAACCGTAAGAACCCAGGCTACTACTCAGTCACACCGAAGAGCATGATGGTCGACGACCGCCTGGTCGCAGCCATCCCAGATGACTTCGGAAGTGCAGTGGTGGCTCTCTTCCTGCACTTTATGGGTTTATGGGTTTAGGGTCTAGAGCTTTGGGTTTAGGGATTTGGTGTAGGGTTTAGGGTTTCGGGGTTAGGGTTATGGGTTTAGGGTTTAGGGTTTATTTTTGGGTTCCTCCCAGCTTTATGGGCTTATCGGGTGTAGGATTCAAGATTCAAGGTTTGGCCCTTGAACTTAGTGATTGTCGGTCGAGTGTTCGTGCTGGCGGAGTTGCAGCCAGTTGCAAAAGGGCTTGTGTGATTGAGGGTGCTGGGGGTTGTCAGGACTCAAGGGGCCGTACGGCCTTTTTGGGCATGGGGCTTTGAGACTGAAGGTTCGAACTGTTAGATACCAGCTCCGGGCCAAAACGCACTAAGAGCAAAGACAAGACATGCTCTACTAACTAAAGGTATCGGTTTGTGGGAAATGATTTATTCCTTCATTATTGTTTAATCTAGCGCCCTATTTAAAACTGTAATTGTTTTTGGGCTGTTGAAGTCGACAACTTGTTTGATGCTGAGAAAGTTTCCCCTCAGTCCCAAGTCTTACTCATTGGATCATATGGGGGTACCCGAAAATAGGGGACCCTGAAATAGTACCCCTAAATTTGAGGAGCCTGATTATAAGGACCCCGCAATAAGGTGCCCTTCATGTTCGAAAAATTCCCATATTCGATCCCTTAACCGCTTCACCCTGCGCTTAACTTGAAACGAAGCTAGCTAGATGGTATCCCCCGGCCCCCTCGCCCACACCTGCTTTTAAGGTTTAGGTTTAAGGACTTTCTGGTTGCGGTTTGAAGTTTTCTGCTTCGACGACTCTGTTCTGTTTCGCACCACGATCCCATTTACACCCTCAAAGCCCACTGTAGGGGGGCGGAATAATGACCAATGCTGTTCCTGGACATAACGGTTAGACGATGTGTCCGGGCGTGTTTTTCCATGTTTCACGCAAGCTTTGCCAGTCATTTCCTGAAAACTCGAGATTTGTTGGTTGTGGGTTTACTGGTTCTTGGCCGCGTTCAATGTGAAGTCCCGGCTAATAGAGCCGGCTTTTTGATGTACACAGTTTTGTTTCGGCGTATGTCAGTTTTTGTGTTCCTTGGCTTCGTTTTGGCTTGGTTTGGTCAGCGGTTTATACGAACTTTGTGACATGGTTTGGGATGGTTGTATGCCGGCTTCGCAGGGTGTCTATGAGGGTTCAAGGGACTTATGGGCGCTTTCTGAGGGGGGTTGATATGAATACCCCTTATCATAGTCCAGACTAAGAAGGGATCAGGGGTTGTCAATCTGTAGCCTCAAATTTCTCTGGGCCAAGGACACTGGCACAACCTTGACTTACTTCCCACCAGCGGTCTTCAACAATCTCATTGCGGCCATCGATGCCTACTGCGTGCCTCTGTCCTGGAAGCCATGCTCTGATCGGAAAGCTTACAGTAGAAGCCCAAAAGTTGGAAACCCCAGAGCCTCCATCCGTAAGAGTAATGTATAGGGAATCCCAGCACTGTTTGGCCTTAACCCAGTTTCCAACTTTATGGGGTTTACTGTAGGGTTTGCGGCTTTCGGGGCGTAGTGTTCCTTGCAGAACCAGTAGCCATCGTCATCATCGTCGTTTCGATGCTGTTCGCCAGCCTTACCCTGATCGCTCTCTCGAGAAGCACAGCGATGGTGAAGAAAGATGTAGCAATTGTCCATGTACCATCTTCAGTATCATCACGAGTGCATGACAGCCAAGCGTGCTGTCTTCTCACATGGTTAGTCATTGTTTTTGCTGCTGGCACTTTGTTCCTAGAGAATTCTGTGAGAGCTACATGCTTGCTATCCTGCCACACACAATTTTCTAGCTAGTTGCTGCTTGGCCACTGCTTTTGCTCCGCTCGGTTGCTGTGGCACTGCAGCTGCTGCTGGTGATGCTGAAGCTCTTACTGTGACGGTGACGACGACGATAGAGAAGACGGCGGCCACCCAATACTACCTGATCTGACACCACTGCCACACCTAGCATCTACTGACTGCAACTGCAACGACTCCACGGCTGGCGATGCTATTGTCGCCGTTGTGGGTGGCTATTGCCTTTGCTGCAATGTTCACCACTACTCCGACCACTTTAGTTTTGGTCTTGTCATGATCAGCATTGTTATCATTGTCAGTCCTTCCTACATCGTTTTTGATCTCCAGCGTTCCTGAACGATTATATAGTTAAAACCCCGGCCCAAACCCGATTCTAATTAGCAAGGCGGCTATATTATTTTGATAGCAGCGGCTTTGTTGGGAGGCCGAAACCCCGGAAGTTCCCTCCAGAATGGATATCCTTGAGCCTCACAGGACATTCCTGATGACAGCGTAGGGTTTAGGGCTCAGGGTTCAGGGTTTAGGGCTTAGGGGCCAAGTTTGAGACCAGGAGGCCTCACCTCAAGAGGGCTCAAACCTCGATATGCAAAATGCAGAAATTCCCCTGGAAGCAGAATGTTAGAGTCGCAATACGAGCACCATCCCCAATGACCTTCTACGTATGATTACGTATGTAAGTGCAGTTGTAAGGTTCCCTGAGCTCCGAGTACTTCGCATCGCCTATAGCCCTAAACCGCTGCCCCCCAAACCGCTGCACCCCCAAAGCCCATAGACCCGAGATACCCTGAAGACCTGAATCAAGCCCTAAAGTCCCAAACCGCTCAGCCCTAAAAGCTTTAAACCCTGTCAAGAATCTTAATCCAAAGCCCTAATGAAAGCTCTAAACCCCAAGCCCTGTTCTGTTTTTTCGATAGCCTGAATCCTGTAGTTCGACAGAACTTCAGAGACCTCGTCTGGCATGTCCGAGTTGCGAGAGCGTACAGCCAAGAAAAGCCCGGCTCTTCTCAGGCGTTGCCAGACAAGTGCAAGGGGCAACGCCTTGAGGGGCATCCGCACCCTGCCCCGTTGGGTTCAATCTAGAGGTTCAGGGATTGGGGAGTAAGCACTACTAATGTTTTTTGAAGCTAGACCATGCCCCCAAGACCCTCTAACACACCTAAACCCGGTTTTTGTTTCTCGGACTGCGAGAGGTCGTCGGGGTATATGGTTTATGGTTGAGCGGTGTACGTAGGAGGTTTCCGAATTCAAGTCCCCACGAAGGGTGAGAGTGTCGTAGTTCAGATTTTCGATTAACAAATTGATCGTGCAATCTGCTTTTTCGACTTCCTCGGAGCACCCCTAGGAGAACTTGTCAAATCAGAATGATTTATGGGGTTTAGGGGTTGGGCAAAACATGGATTTATACAGGAAGGGTTTTATGACGTAGGTAGGGTTCAGGGTGAACCATATTCCGCGACTACCCAAAATTTGGATATTTGTGTCGAGTGTGACTGAACAGATCAATCTGTATAGCGCCTGGGTCCGAGTTGCCTATGTCGAAACACGTGGATAAGCAGAGAATCCCGACAATTCACGACCTTTGTCAGCACCATGAGGCTCGACGCAACTGCGACAACGTTCGCATGCAAAAACGACGCTTCTCAGCACTCTTGCCAGGCATTGCTGGAAGTTCAAGAGTGTGACGGACCAAAACGAAGAGATGCCAGCTATACGTCAGGCCAGATGGGAGCCAGTCTGCCAACTCCGGGTCAGGGTTGAGGGCTTGAAGTTTGAAGTTTAGGGTGCAACAATAGGGCACTTGACCTGAGTCCAGTAACAAAGAGGGCATCGGGCGCTTGGTTTTGTAGCCCAGGTAAATCTGTGAAGCCATGGTTTTGTAGCCAAGCACCGGTGCCGAGATAGTTTGCCGATGTTGGGGAGCCTTGCTGTCGTTCTTCTTGTTATGCAAGACTTGTGTCGAGGCACTAACTTTGAACATCAGCAGTCCCTGTCCTTCAATACTTTCGGTGGCTGTGCGGTGACGACAGGCCCCATGAAGTAGGTTCAAAGCATTCGGTGTGGCCTCGATGATGCCGCTGCCCTGACCCTTCACCATTCAGACTTTCAAATGAAGTCGCCGGATTTGATGAAATTGTGACGGCCGTGTTGTGCTAGCATGCGAGCCTATTTCGGACGGCCCCGTTGCTGCTGGCCTGCTTGTATCTCGATGTGCCATTTTATGTGTTTGCCCGACGATCCGAGAATGGCACAGAACTCAGGCACAGACCCTGAGCCTTTCTGATCTCTGTTGTGGTTTTTGTTGGCCTTTCAATGCGTTCCTTGGTACCTGCGATCAGTGCACCTTGCGACTTGATATCATGGTCGGAATCGAGCCGGAACCCTACGTTGTCGTGCCCGAGCTAACAGCCCGGATGCCACAACAAGGGTTCCTGTGTAAAGTGGTTATTCAAGGAGAGCAACCTACTCTGTCTGTGGCAGGCATCTAGTACTCAGTGGGGTGCCAGAATTGCTTTTACGTGCCTATTTCTGTCCGCGCGCTTACCCAGAGACCCCAATACCCCTTAATGAAGGAATATACCCTAAATCATTATGGGCTTCATATTATGATTTAAGCCATATTCCTTAATTAAGGGGTATTGGGCTCTCTGGGCAACCAGCTTTGTGCCCTCAAGTAAGCTTTTAAGCCTACTGCAGCTCTACGGCTGCACCTTTCTTGAACTCGGCCTCTTGCAGGCAGCATTCCCCACCATCAAGATGAAATTCCGTGCTCCGCCTGCTTGAGAAACTCGTTTGAGGGCTGCGCTAAGTTCTGTTCTGTTGAGGCCGTCGGCTGTTGCTTTGATGCGGCCACGGTGTTGCCATTAACTTCAGACCTAAAGACGGCTCTTTGTAAGCCCAGTGCCCTATCCTATCCTGCAAGTTTCTGGGTATGGGTGCGATAAGGGTAGACCCTAAGCCCTAAACCGGTGCTTGAGGAGCAGTGCCCCACTGAGGAGGCAACCCGTGTTCTCGTTCATGAGCTTAGTCCAAGATACCACGAAAAGGACGATCCATGAATTGATTGTTTGTTTGTTCGATTGGATGGATAGGCAGATAGGTAGATAATTCATAAAGCTGGAGCACTTGTTTGGTGGTTGGTGCCATACACCGCAGGCCCTGAACCAAATCTTGAATTCCAAACGAAATGAAGCCTGGAAGGGCTGCATGTGGTTGGAACCCCATACTTCAGAGAGATATACCCCTTTCGTTTCAGGGTCATTCGAGGCCCGCCTTTAGATTTAATGCTGGTGCGTGCCGCAGACAATGTGTTCGACATGATGCGGCCTTGTGTGTGTACACATATATATAGATATAGATACTCAGCCTTACATAGCTAACCCTTACTTTGCCTAGGAAACTGGACACACGAGTAAATCCCCTAATGTCAAACCCGAAACCCAGAGCCCTGAAGCCTATTATAGGGGCTTCAACAATTACCTACACTTTTTTTCGGGGTTCCTTATTATACATGGTCATAGTATAAGATACCTCAAAATACTATTCTAATCATTAAGGCCCCTATATTACATCCCAAACTCGAGCCTCTTATACACCAGGGGTTGTCCAGCGACGACTCCCAAGAGGTGTAAAAACCTGGAGCGATTGCGCATGTTGCAATCGTGGCCTTACACCCTACCTGGGGGTCCAATAACCTCTTGTTTCAAGGGCTTTACCCTTTTAATTACACGGTCATAGGGCTTGAACTTTGAGGCTACGGGTAAGCCTTAATAAACAAACGTGCGAACGCCAAGAACCTCAACCTCTGCACCGTCACCGCTACTGCTACGGTTGATGATCATAAATCCTGCATTACCCATAACCAGGAATGCACCGTAATTCCCATAGTAGAGGATCAGTAAGGTAATGCAGGATTTATATCATCAACCGTGCTGCCTCAGCCCTGACGGGATCCTCGAAAGGGCTCTAACCGGGTTACTATAAGGGGATCTACTATACGGGCCCCTAATGTTTCAAGCGGGGTTTCTTCATCCCAGACCACCGAAAGGTTCTCGAAAGTGGAACCGGAATTTTGGACCTTATACTACCAACTGGTAAATTATGGGAACCCCTTCAAGGGATCTAGCTTTTGGATCTACCCTGGGTCTGGGAAAGGGATCCTTGGCATTTGTCACAGCGAAAGGTTATACAGAAGAGAGCGTGGAGGTTCACTGGCGGCCAGAGACCTATCTCAGCAAAAGGCCTGTTGAGGATTGGAGGGTGGATCTTGAAGGATGTCACTGTCACCAGGCTTCTAGAAGCATTTAGAGTTTAATGTAGTGAGTTTAAGCTTGAGAAAGCCTAAGTTTCAGGTATAGATCTTGAATTCAATTCCTGAACCTGTCCTAGGCACTAAACCCTAGCAGGGTGGAGGCTGAGGTCGTGCTTGCTTTGGTGGGTGTTTCCGGCAGAAGACCTAGTGGGAACATGGATGGATGCATGGTTCCAGCTTGGACACTCGATTAGCTTACAGCCTCGAATGTAACATCAAAGTAAGCTTGCTTTTGATTGCACGATCCGAGCCGTTCAGAATTGGTTAGCCGAAGCAAGGATCTAAGTTGGAGACTGCAAGCAGTTTGGCTTTGATGATTCTGCTTGCAGCGTTTATTGGGTTGTACAGTCTGGCTTAGTGCGTTGCAGTCCCGGCTCAAAAGGGCTTTTCTGCCAGCCAAATACCTAGTAATATGTTCATAATATTATCCCGACGGCTTCTTGTGAAAGTCATAGCATAGAATACCCCCCCAAGCCCTATTCTACTTGTCAAGGCCGCTAGCTTTCTATCTATCTGTGTATCTATACAGACAAATAATACAATCAAACGTAATACTCAACTAGTAATAGCAGACATGTGTATATATATATATATATGTATATATATATATATATATACATCTGTTTATACCCACATACATAAATTCGTACATACATACATACATACATGCATACATACATACATACATACATACATACATACATACACATACACACATGCATACATGCATATACACACACACATATATATATACATATATATGTATAGACATATGTATGTATGTATATTATGTTCATATACATGTATATTCTGGGGGATCTCGTGCCTCGAGTCCAAAGAAGGGTTTGTGTCGGCCGTGGGCTCTGTAAGAGTGGCCTGCAGCTGAAGCTGCGGGGATGGACTTTGCAGTGATACGGTCAATGATATAAAAACCTACATTCCCTTAATGAATCTGGACTATCGGAATTATGGTAATACTCAGTATTACTTGTTGGCTGTAAACTCAACTTTTCAACTTATGGGGTTCTATAAGGTAGTCGATTCTGAGAGTTTCAGCTTTCATTCCGTTGGGTTTTGGGCCAGTCAGAGTTTGGGTAATGCAGGAGCGACATCATTTACAGTAGGGCCGGTTTACCCAGTACTGAGTAGGGGCTACAACAAGTTGAATAGGGTTTTGGGGTGTATCATGCTTCCTTCATACAGAGTCCGTGGAAACTTGTGTGGGTGCAGCGGGAGTGCTGTTGCCTTCGATGTTTCAGTTTGGTTTTAGGATTGAAGTCGTTTGACACATTCCAGAGTCCATCGCTTAGATGTCTCGGTCCATTAATGGAACGACTTCATCACTTTCGCACTGGAATCAGAAGCTTGGGATGGACATCGGGGCATGTTGAACGTATCGGATCATAGGACTGCAGAAGTAGGGTCCCAAAAAACACATAAGCAAAACTGAGGATAGGGATATCCCATATAAACCTCCCTTATAAAGAAGCCCAGTAAGGTAGGGATATCCTCAAAAAATGCTTATGCTTATGATGCGAATCGGTCTTGCTTTTGGGCTCAGTTCGGAGGACAAGCATTCCTTAGCAGCACCATATAGTACAACTATATGGGAGTTTCCGAAAATCAGGTTTGCCTTCTTTGGCCCTCATAAGAAGGATCCTACTATTTAGGGCACAAAATTACGGCCCCGTGTTTTCGGAAGCTCCCATACAGTACCCATTTTTCATTCTACATTTAATTTTCCAGAACCCAATCGCTGTGGATGAAGCCGGTTCTGTCGGAGCTTCCCCGTATATACCTTTGCTCCACAGTTAATGAACTAAACCCCAAACCAAGACCCGGGAAGGTCCACTGCCACCTCATGATAGTACTAACTAGTTTGCAAAAGAAGGTAAATTGAATTAAACGGAGAAATCCATGTGCAATAAGTTCAGAGGGTCCATGTATACTACCATTATGGAATTGGTTCCCGCAAGACCATCCTCATTTATGGTTTTGGGGGCCTAATTCCATAATAGTAGTCTCTACAGCTCCTCTAGGTAATCATGATAGGCAGGTGGAACCTCCAAGCCCTGAGACCCCAAGCGCTAGCAGAAACGCTTCGTCTTCAAAAATCCTAGCAGCCCCTCAAAACTCTTAGGGCTTCAGGCACGGTTTATGGTGTCAAACCCTTGTGAAACCTTCAAAGAAGCTGGGAAACCATCGCCGAGTATAGAAGCTGCTGTCAGGGTGCGCGTTGGTGAGCTTTGCTATGCCTTCCAGCCGATGGCGAAGGCAAGATGCCTAGAGGGCCTAGAGAATTCGTTTTAAAGGTTTGCCGTCCAGAGCATTCAGGGTTTGGGGGCTCCGTGCTTGCAGCAGCTTGGTGCATTAAGGACTTGACAGCCCCCTTCCGAGTTTCTTTTTCTGATTGTGAGGGTCTTCTTCATGGGAGTTTGTTCATCAGACTGTTGTTGTGTTTGCTTGCATTACGAGTGGTGAAAAGTAGTTATTGGTCTATACAGCGCTTTAGTACCATTTACCAGAGCTCCTGAACGTCCAGTCATAAGTAGGGTCGAGGGTTGCCTCAAGCAGGATCGTTTTGGCCAGTGAGCAATTGGGCCTTCCCCCCTAAGCCCTCAGAAGCCCAAACCCCCCGAACCTCAAAAACCAGGTTAAGGGTTAACTTTAAGGTTTGGTGTAACTTGGAAGTTCATGGCAAAAGCCCAAAGGAAGCCTGTTCAACCCTTCTGGAAACCTTTGTAGACGCCCACCCCAGACGCCCCATAAGATCCTATCAAACCTGTACAGAAGCAGAGCCCTATGAAAGCCTATAGATCACCAGCCATAGATCACTGTCACTCCCGTAGGCCCCATAAAGCTTTATAATTGGCAGCTAAAAAAACTTCGCTGTAGATTCCCGTAAACGCCCCTTCTTGAGCCCATGATGGTGGTTGTCAAAATTATGGTACCAGAAATTTAGTAGGTGCCGTACTTTATTCGGGGCCCAAAAAGGGACTATAATTCTGACAACCACCATTAATAATAAGAGCTCCGAGACAGCCTGTGAAGGTGGACCAGACGATCCTTGGCATTTCGTTTCTCTTGCACAAGGACCGGTGGACGAGGTTTGAACAAGTAGCAATAGTATCACTTCACAGGCCCTATGATCTAATAATGAACGACTACTTTTCTTCTGCCCCTTCGTAGAACTTAAAGAGATCCCTGTACAGGCCCTATGCAATACGTTGAAACCCCAAAACCTTTAAACACCTAAACCCCCAAACACTTTAAGCCCCCTAGACCCCTACCAACCCTTACACCCCTAAACCCTCAGACCCTTCAAGCCCTCAACCCTTAAACCCATAGACTCCTAAACCCCCAAACCCTGAAAGCTCTGAAGCCCCTACTGTAAACCCCTCAACCCCTCAGCCCTAAATCCTAAACCCTAAGCCTCAGCCCTTTTTCTGAAGCCCCAAGCCAGGATGCAGTTTTTGATGTGAGCAAGCAGCGCCTCGGTATCGTGGATGCCAACTGCCCGCCGCATTACAAGGCCTTAGGGTTTATAGGGTTGAAGTCACGACCGTGGGTAGTTCTCTAAATTAGGGCTCCCCTTGTTTTAAGGTAGAAAGGAGGACCCCCTGATTCAGAGAACTACCTGCAGGGGTTATCTAAAGTAGGGTTCCGTTTTAGGCTTTGGGTACAAACAGCACCCTGAAAGGGACCCGTACTTCGAGTCTTAGAGGACTACCTACATGAGTGTAGGGGCTTGGGTTTAGGTTGTGGGATTTGGGGTTCTAGGGCTCTTCAGTCAGTCTTATAGGGCATACCTGGGCCCTAAAGAACCTACATTTTCAGGGTTCCTTAATATGATTTCCTGAGATGAGTCCCTAAAAAGGTAGGTTATTTGGGGCCCAGGTAGGGTGCAGGGTTCCGGTCGTCGGATTGAGGTGTGGGGGTCAGGGTGGAAGGCTTGCATCAAGCGCTGAGGCAGTTTGGGATCGGGCACCAACGCCAAATACTGAGTTGGCTTAAAACAGTGTTTCTATCGGCAGTCTTCTCACGAATCAGGTTCGGGCACGCACTTGTTGAGGGCCTAAACCCTAAACCCTAAACCCTCTTGTTGAGCCCTTGCTCTTGAAGCTTTGACTCCGTTTGGCCATGCCATACAACCCTGGAGCCCAGGGCTGGGCTGGTTAGAGTCTTACGTCGCACTTCACGGTGAGCTCCGCCCCCAACCTCAGAACTACTAGAAACGAGCTCTTCACCTGCGCTGCTGTGAAGTTTGTCAGCCCACGCAGTCCCAAGACTGCTGATTGGCAGGAAGCAGCCGATACCATTACAGCACAATAAATGGGTGATCCTTGAATCATGAAGTCTACTTGCTATCTGCCTGGACGGAGTCGCCGGAACATGATACGGACTTGTACAACCGGTGCTGCAGAGATCTCTAAGACAAATTGCTCGCAGAGGCCACTGGAAATCATCCATATCTGTGCCTCTTCATTGTCATCGATTTGCTTGGCTGTTGTGAAAAATTGCAAATTTCTCACCCTAAGCCCTCAAAACCCTAAACTCTCAACCCTCAAACCCCAGCCGCAGTCTGATCCGGGTCTTAGCTGCACGCTGCGGAACGAATCGCTACAGTGGTGTTCGGGCCCAGGGTCATACCAGCAAACCGAGACAAGGGTTTAGTGGTTAGCTGTTTTAGGGTTTATTGTGGAAGTACACTTCCTGATATTCTGGCCTGCTGTTTCGTGCCCTTGCATTGCGAGACACTTGATGATGGCACGGCAGAGAGAGAGAGAGAGAGAGAGAGAGAGAGGGAATTTATATTACCACCAAGCCTGACCCAATTGCCGGTATCGCAAAGTCCAGATGCGATCCTCAAGCGTATGCTCAGTCGGCGAACCTTATACTTAAAGGACTTAAAAAACATCCCAGAGCGGTTCATAGCAGCTTCAGCAACACTGAAGCCATGAACATCGAATCTAACAGACAACCCAGAGAGCCCAATACCCCTTGATTAAGGAATATACGTTGAATTATTAGGGGCTTCATACTATGATTTAAGCTATATTCCTGAATTAAGGGGCATTGGGCTCTCCGGGAACGTGTTCATCCATCAGATCCCGACGAAGCTTTCGCTGTGGGGCTTGCTGTCGGATCCGAGCTGGCTGCTGCAGTCCAGGTCGGGTTAGGGTGGTTTACTTGGAGGGGCAGGGGACTTAGTAAGTAGGTTATAAGTAGGGTGATAATTGGGGTAACTCCATTTAGGGTACTTATAGCTCTACTTATAACCTACTTACTAAGTCCCCTGCCCCTCCAAGTAGGGTTCTGGGTTTAGGGTTAGGGAGTAGGTTCTTGGGGCTCAAGGCAAAACATGTTGGGTTAGGGTTGGAAGAACCGTTACATCCTAACTGATAGAGGGGGTGTATCATGCTTTGAGGTCTATATTCCCTAACTGCTTCAGGAATATGACACAGGGCCCTATTATAACCCTAAACCCTACACCGGGGCCCTATTCTTATCATTCAGGCCCTGCATTATTGGCCTCTTTGAGGAAAGTCTTGCACTTCGGAGCTTCGTCAGCTCGTAATGTCGGGACCTGATGAAAAAACCTTAGGCCTTTATTTGGGCTCCTTATATGAATCCTTCTATTTTGGTGTGAAAAAGACCCAGGGTGTAGAGGGTATTGTAGGAACATGTTTAAGAAATCTTAGGCCTTTATTAAGGTTCCTTATATGAACCCTACTATTTTGGTGATATAGGCCCAGGGTTTCTTAATCAGGTTCCTACAGTAGAGGGTTTAGTACCCAAAGTTCAATTTGGAGATCTAACGGCTCTGGTGGCGCATGAGGGAGGAGACCGTCTAGGGTTTAGGATTTCGGGGTTTAGGGTTTAGGGTTTAGGGGTTTAGGGTTTAGAGTGCCATGGCTCTGCACAAAGCCGCTGAGTTTGCGAGCCTTCACAACGAGGAGAACCTCGAGGCTCGCTCATCGCGCAGCCAGGAGCCGGACGAGAAGCTGCAGGAGCAGGCCCGCCTCCATCAGTGGCGGGTTTCGCGATGGAGGCGAACACGACGGTGAAGAATCCGCAGGTAGCAAACGCTCGAGCACCTTGAGAGGACGGCCCTTGATCGCTAAGCTGTTTGGTGCTCACGTCCCTTGGCTGATGCCGATCTTTCCCCTACATGTGCTCGACCAGACAGAAGGACGGCAGTACACGACGCTCTCTGGTCATGTCCGTCAAATACATGAGTGGGAGTCTGCTCTTGTCATGCTTACCATGCTATGGAGTCGTTGGGTCCTACAGTTGCGCCTGAGCAGTGACGTAGATGCTATCTTCAGTGGGGTTTGCTCTCCGTTACAGTACAATCCTTGATGTGGCAACAACATCGTCAAGCTTTACTGTGCGAGTACGTGGATGAACATCAGTATTCTATACTTGAACAGATGGTGCAGTGATTGCGATTGTTCTCTTCTCTCGAGGGATCTTCAGCTTAAGCTACAGTCCGTTGTCTTCTACAGCTTTTCCTTCGAACTCTTTCCTAAAATCGGGGCTGCGAGTTTCGTGGGCGCTGGCGGCACCTCAGTCCGTGCTGACAAAGTGTTTGGGTACTTCGGTGTAGCATAGCCGGGACGCAGGTTTGCAGTTGGGGGAGTCTGGGAATATGAGATATTTCGGCACCTGCACCCTCAGGGCAATTTACTCAGCTCTCTGACACGTCTTCGTTCCGGAAGGCTTGACATGGGAGTGTCCGAAAGGAAGGAAACCCTCGTTTCGATATCCTTGACATGGGTAGTTGTCAAAATTATGGTCCCTTTTTGGGTCCTTATTATAATAAGGCACCTAATATTTAGGGTACCCAAAAAGGGACCATAATTTTGACAACCACCTACATGAGAACCCCAATCTGCTTCAGTACCTTCATAGAATTCCCTGCCTGGTGTCCGAACAGGCCAACACCGCTATGCAAATGAAGGACTCAACGTGCGGAGTCCCAAATCGCAGCCCAACCGTACTAGAACCCCTAAACCCAAACCCTACACCCAACCCTTGAAAGGAACTGTAATAGAACCCTGCAGATCCCTAAGAACGAAAGGCTCTCGGTCTGCCTGCCGCTCTTGGTGGCCCTCTCTGGTGCTGGCTTTCTGCTGCACCCCGGCCAGAGGGTTCATTTAGAAGCCTCAAGAATACTCATATTGATTCGCTAGGGCATCTTAGTAGCAGTAGTAGTAATAGTAATAGTAGTAGTAATAGCAACAAAAATAAGAGCATATAAGAATAGAATTACATAGTCACACTCGTAATGCTGCAGTTCAAATACCCGAACACCCCATTCCAGTCATGAACACCCCTGCAGTAGGATTTCCGGACGTCGGGTTGGGGGAATGGATACATTCAGTGATTACACGCGGAAACGATGTAAGACTTCAACATATCGGGCAAGAGTATATATGTTCCCCAATATGTTTATGTAGTGTTAATTACCCGGGAACCCAGAGCCTTCTATTACGTATTAACAAGCCTATATGCAACGATGTGGACCGAGCAGCTTGGGGTGTGCTGGATCGTATTCAACCGTGGATTCGGGTGTAACGGTTTCGAGTTCACGGTAAAGCTCGGAGGTGAGGCGGGCATGAGGGCATGTGCGCCGCAGCCTGTTGAGAAAGGGTTTCCAAGTCCGTGCTTTAGAAAGGGCTTGCGAGCCTGTACGTTTCTAGGACCTAGATCTCTCGGCCTAAACCTTCGGATGCATACGCGTTGGAAGACTGGGGTGCAGTCTGTAACGGTGCAAGCAGGAATCGCTGTTGACAGGCTTGGGATGAAAGGAGTGGTGTCAAAATCAGGACTCTTTAAGCTTTCAGCTAAACCCTAATGTAGGAACCTGATTAAGAAACCCTGGGCCTATAACCCCAAAATAGTAGGACTCATATAAGGAACCTAATACAGGCCCAAGGTTTCGTAATCAGGTTTCTACATAACCCTCTAAACCCGAAGCCAGTAGAGGTCCTGTGTGCAAAAGTGCGGCCCATGACCCTAAACGCCAAACCCATGGCTTCTTTGGTTCTGCCAAACGACAACCAGTGCATATGGGAGTGGTTCATGAGTGAATTTCGTACATGGTGACGCAGCAGTATGGTTTGAGGCTTAGGTTTTGGGTTTCGAGGTGTGTTTTTTCTTTCAGGTTCAGGGCTATCAGGGCTTAGAGCTGAGCGCATCGAGTGTAGGGCTTTCATGATAGAAGCTCATCAACGGAATCATGTGTTGGAGCAACATGTAGAACAAGGTTGTCCTTGATGATACTGCTGTGAGAGGGCATCACAGGTGTCGGTGCTCCATGCTGACCCGAAATTCTTGAAGCCTAAAGACGAAGGCATCGCGCCCGTAGAGGCCGTAAAGACCCCAAACCCAAACCCCGACCTATGACAAGAACCCTTGCTTGCGTATGCTTGGTATCAGAGCCGAAGCCCAACCGAAAGCCCCAACAAAACCCGTCCAAATCACCAAAAAGTTCTGAAGTCCCAGACCCAAGCACATTCCGCCCTACACCCGAAACCCAGCACGATGAACTTAAATGTGGGTAGTTCTGCAAACTACGACCCCTGTTCAGGTCCCAAAATTAGTACGACACCCTTACATAGGGAACCGCCTATAGAGGGGCCATATATACTACCATTATAGAATCAGGTTCTCAAAAACATAATAGGCATGGCCTTTGGGTTCCTAATTCCACATGGTGGTGTATATGGATCCTCTGCCCTTAACCCCGAAACCCTAAACCCTAAACCCCAAACCCTAAACCCCAAATCCTAAAAACTAAACCCTAAACCCTAAACCGACCTTTCTGGATCCCGGCGAGACGGCAAAGGGTCCTTCAACAACAAAACCTTACTTGGAAGGGCAGGGGACTTAGTAAGTAGGTTATAAGTAGGGTTATAATTGGGGTAACTCCATTTAGGGTATTTATAACTCTACTTATAACCTACTTGCTAAGTCCCCTGCCCTTCCAAGTAGCCGAAAGCTGAGGATGGCTTTCAGAGTCTGGAGAATGTCCAGTGCCTTCCATGCCAGGGCCTGGGATCTTCACGTAGTCATCTTCCCAGTCCAAATGGGGCTTTCCGAAAATTATAGGGGTACCTTTAAAGGGCTCCTTTAAAGGGTTACTATAAGAGTACGGGATCCTTTGAAAGGGCGCTGTAAGGGTTTTTAGAGTTTCCGAGAATGAGGGGTACCTTATTTTGGGGTCCTGATAATAAGAATCCTACTATTGAGGGGAGCATATTAGGGTCCTCTAAGGGTCCATGTACTGGGCTTTGGAGGACCATACTTTAATACCTTTTTTTCTGAAAGGAACCACTTTGAAATAGAAGTTTTTTTTGTCCCTTGTTACTTAAAAGCCCAGTGTATCCAAGTAGTACTTACAATAGTACGTATATACTTTGGCCTTAAGGTATTCCCTCTATAATGTACGTAGGGCCCAAGGTATACACCATTTGTGCACATGGACGCTTAGGGAATCTTGTAGGGTCCTTAAGTGTTTAGGGTGTAGGGACACACCCAAAGCCCGTGCTGAAAAGGGTTTAGGGTTTGGGGTTGTATTAGACTTAAACCCTGACATACCACCATGAGACGTGCAACCTGTTGAATACTGGGGAGAGTGCCCTCAACAGTTGACGCTTTGGTGCTTTTCCGGGCGCCCAGTCAGCCAAACAAGGGCCCTCGAGAGGGTTCAGGGTTTAGAGTTTAGGGGTTCCGCGGCTCTGACATCCGACGTCTCGGCGGGCGTATGCAAGTCTGAGCAGAACAGTTTAGAGGTTCAGAGTTTAGTCGAAAGGGTTTAGGTTTAATTAGGGGGTTTGGGGGGCTCCGGGGGCAGGGTTTGGAGTTTTGGTATGCTGTGGGCTTGTGAAAGGCTGTTCGTCGTTTCCTGTTTTGTAGTTTAGAAATACTGGAGCTCTTGATTTTCCCCGTGTGAAGGCGGTGACTTTGATTGTCTACGTGCTGCACCAATGATGCTGGAGTAGGTAATGGTGGTGCCAGGATATCGGTTGAGGGTTCCCTGATCTACTTCCAGATGTTTAGAGTGTACATTAGAATGTCGAAGCCGTCCACTCCCCGAACACTAAACCATTTGAAGCCCTTTTGAGGGTCCCTTTAAAGAGGACCCCGAAACTGAACCTTAAACCCTGAGGCACAGGACGGCGGCAATCACATAAGGCAACGGGCAAGCGGTTTAGGGTACAGCTGGAGTTCTACGGCATCTTACTGGATGTGTATCTCTTTGGCGACGCCGAGCTGTGAGAGCGTGGAACCCAAAACAGAAAACCCTAAACCCCAAACTGCCCTAAACCCTACAATCCGAGCCAGAAGCCCTATTCTTCGGCACCAAGAGCCTGCAGAGGGATTGAGTCTGCTGCGAGGCCTCGCGAGTGGCATCCGCAGAATGCCCTTTCATTGAGTGAGAGGAGCCTGAGGTTTGGGGTAAAGGGCCTCGAGCCGAGATTTCCAGAGCTTATCGTCACTGATATGAGAATGATTCTAGGTTTTACTCATGTGGTACTGGTAGCGGTAGCGGTCACAGAACGAGTATGATGTGGACCGATATCATGGTAGCACACGGATGTGTGCGATGGGGGCTCGGCCCTGGCATCTTTTTTTGACCTTCGCCGCATATAGGGGCCCAATAACTACCAATGCTGCTTAAGATCAGTACGAATACAGTGTAATCTATGCAAAACTCTGTTTTTAATCAGTCACATCAAAAGACCTTGGATTCGATGAAGACTACAAGAGTTGTTTGGAAGGGCTGAAGGGGGTTTTACGGCTTGGGGCTTTCATGCAGCTGTCGGGATTTGCTGATGAGATCGTTTGAGTACATGACATATAGTAGAAGCCCAAAAGTTGAAAACCCAGTAGCCTCAATCCTTAAGAGTGTTGCATAGGGAATCCCACCACTGTTTGTCCTTAATGCGGTTTCCAACTTTTCGGGGCTTACTGTAGATGCACTATCAATCCTATTCCCGTCGAAACCCTAAACCCGACATGCTGTGGGATCCGTGGTATGTCCGAGACCCTAAACCCGACGTACTGGGATAGATCCTAACCCTTAAACGGCTAAGCCTACAAAACCCCTAAACCCCAAGCCCTAAAGTCCAATACCACACGAGCAGTCGTCAGCAACAGGGATGCGGGCTAAATCGCCGGATCCGAAGATCAGAAGTGTGTCGAGTCGAGGGTCTAGAGTCTAAGGGTTTAGGGTTTAGGGTTTAGGGAGGTCGGTCTGCAACGAGGGATCCAGGATTGTTCCGCTCCGACGTATGAACATTAGAATTTTTGCATATACACACATGTATGTTTCTCTCTCACGTTCACACAGTCTCTCTGTCTCTACATATATATATATATATATATATATGTTCATATATATATATATATATATATATCTATTCACAGAAATGAAGTTTGAGGGTTGAGGTGCTTAGTTTAGGGTTTAGTGCATTTCTAGGATGGAGCGTTAGAGCTTTTAAGGGGGAAGGGCGGAGATTGGATTCAGAGCTTGAGGTTTAGGGCTTGAGATTTCGGGTTTGGCGTTTGAAAGGGTCTTTATCTTTGGAATGAAATTCGGGCCCAACCAGATTTTTTGTAGGCAGGTGCCGTCATTCGAAACGAGGGCGTGCACAAAAGTGGTTGGGCCCGGCTTGCACGACGTACGGTTCTGCGTGCATGAAGGCACGTAGATACAATGCATCACAACCCTAAACTTTGTAATTGTATATGACTCGCCATATGCGCCCACACCTAAACTCTAAGCTTCATGAGTAAGACCCGAAAGTCCTAATTTGAAGCCCCATGAACCCTTAACTCTAAACTGGTTCAGCCATACCTTAGATCCCCAATACCTAACCTTTAAACTTTTTGGGTTCTTATAATTTAGTAGGAATCAGAAAGTTTAACCTTTCATTTCTGTGGCTCATTGGGCTAGTAAGGTACACGTCCTAGAAGCTGAGGCCTAAATAACCGAGAGATGCAGGCCGAGGTGTGATGCGGGGGTTTGCAGCTTTGCAGAGTGCCCCTGTGTCTTGTAGCGCAAGGGTCGGGGGACGTAGTACCTGGTTATTTAAGGGGGCTATAAGTACCATAACCCCAATTAGGGTCCCTTTTAGGGTACTTATAAGTCTACCTACTACCTACTTACTAAGTCCCTCGACCCTCCAAACTGGGTTAAAGGGATGAGGGTTGATGTTTGTAACTTATTGCCAATTTCGATATACAGACTGATGCCCTGCAGGTATCGCGGCTTCGAGAGATAAGATTAAGGTAACCCAAAGGGCCCAAGTACCAGTATAGGAGATATTTGTGGGCCCCGAATATCTATGAAGGGCCTACCACATGGGTACTTGGACCCTTTGGGTAGGGAGGCTCAACGATCCCTAACACAAAGACCTTTAAAGAACCCTCATAAAACCCTTAAAGGAACCTTTATACAAACCTTCTGCCAGCTGCCTTCATCCCAGCAATGGAGTCCTTTGAGGGATAGGCCCGGAAGTGGTGCAGCTATGCTACGGATATTTCCAGACCAGCTTCAAAAAGGGAACCTCGTGTGTGTACTTGTGCAGTGGGCAGGAGGTTTAATGGAATAGTATCCTTCAGCTTTTTCTCATAGTTCTCGCATAAATCGTTGAGGCTCCTATGTTCAGGTATGTTCAGTTGGGTTGTGCACGCGGGAAGACGCCGAGGATCTTGTCCGAAAGCAGCCGGTAAACCCTAGATCCTAGGTTTTTCAGTAATGCCCTTTTGCATGTTTTGTGTTTGTTATTCAATTAAACCGAATAATTAGTGGGAAAAAGCCTACCCTCATGGCTACTCAGGAGCCTAGTAATCCTAAACTCCAGACCCAAGAAGCTGGTCGTACTGTACTGCCTTGGCCGGGGCCTCAGTGGGTTCAGGTTGGTGTCGGTTCGAATCTAACTTTCCGAGCTTGGCGACCCTAAAATCCTAATCCCGAAGCCCTATTCTAATTGATATTATCATTATTCTTCTTCCTTAGGGTTCCATATGGCCTTTACAGTATTGGGTACACCAAAACTTTATAGTATTGGGTACACCAAAACCCTGCTCAAACTGCAGTACTCAGGCCCCTTTACTACACCCTTCTAGACCCCTTATACCTATAGTCTCCATTGTAGTTCCTCTTCTTGGTTAACCAAAATTTCCTTCATAGGATGCTAACCATAAAACTGGTTAACCAAAAAAAGGAACTACAATGGAGACTATAGGTAGAACCCTTTAAAGGACCTGTAAAGGAACCCTATTCTAACCATTAAGGCCCCCTATATGGGAGTTTCCGAAATTTGGTGACCCCAATATAGTACCCTAAATAGTAGAATCCTTATTATAAGGACCCCAAAACAAGGTACCCCTAATTTTCGGAAACTCCCATATAGCTCTGAACCAGCCAAGCAGGGGCTCCGACAACCAGGCTCCTCTGAAGTTGGAGTTCACGTCAACATGCGGGCGGAAAAGAGCCACCAACAAAAAACGGTTTAGGGTTGTGGGTTTAGGGGGTTCAGGGTTTATGGTTCAAGGCCGTGAATTAAATCACGTTCGAGCACAAGTGCTAAGAAGGAGCCTAGTTAAAGCTGTCGTCGTAGGGGCCTCAAGCAAACAATAGGGCTTCGAACATATGGCAATGTAGATTATATACCTTCACCGAACCCTTGACCCTAGACCCATTACGCCTTACCCGGAGAGACCGTTTCTGAGAGGTGAGTAAGAGTACCACCGTATAGTCCCTAGCTTGTAGCCCCAAAACCCCAAAACCCTAAACCCCAAAACCCCAATTCCGAAACCCTAAACCCTAATCCCTAAACATGTAAACCGCAAACTCTTGGCCGGCAGGAGCACAAATCCCACAAATGGCCTGGCTCACAGTTAAGGCGGGAGGGGCCGAACACCGGCAACTCCTCGGGCTTTGGGGTGAACCCGAGTCCCCGACCCCTATACCCAAGAATCCTAAGCCCCCCCAAACTCCCGGAGAACCGGTCACAAACCCTAGAACTCTAAGCCTTGGAATCCCAAGCCAGCCTAAACCTTGAGCCCTAAGGAAAGCCCTAGTTTTTCGGAAGTGCCCATAGCAAACCCCAAATCGTTTCCTCAAGGGTTCGTGAGTTCGGCTTTAGGCGCCGAGCCTCACGTGCCGGCCATGGGGCCCTCCCTCCAGGCGGGGTGTCGCAGCTTGGGTGTTGTGAGAGTGGCGGTGTTTAGGTTTGAGGGCTTTCCTGGGTTTGGGTTGGATTTGGAGATGGCGCTACTTATATTATTGTATTTGTATTTTTTGAAGCTGCTGTGTAAGATGATAATGAGTATGGTCATTGCTGGCACAATCATCGTGGCCATTATGGGTGAAGAGTGTTCTCATCAGTATCTCTTCCTGTGTAGCGATTCAACACCGCAGGGGGAATCCTGCTCTTCCTACTGGTTGTTCTTCGGCCGAAGGGTTCAAGGTCTAAGGGGTTAGGGTTTAGGGTGTTCGGGTTTAAGGATTCACTACGATGCTTATTCAGAAGCACCGACTCCAGGCCGTGACTCAAAAAAGGTTTAGGGTTCAGGGCGGAAGCCCAAGCAAATTTGTGTCCGACCTCGAATTATTTAACTAACTCAGAGACAGCCCCATCCGGGAAGCTGTCGAGTTCCATGAAACCCTGAACGCCTGAACCGTGGATGTAATTCCGATGCCTGACACCCCGACACCATGCCCGCTTCGAGTGAGCGTGCGATTCAAAACCCCCTGCCCCTTACGCTGACAGTAGAAGCCAGAAAGCTGGAACATCATTATCGTCATGCCCTCAAGGTAGAGCATGGGGAATCCCAGCGCGAATCATCCTAAGTTCATGTTCCAACTTTCTGGGCTTCACTATACACCCAAAGCCCAATGCCCCAGCCCCAAAGCTTCGAGACCCGGAGCCGAAATCCCTAAACCCTAAACCCCTAAACCTGAAACCCTAAACCCTGAACCTCAGTCGTAAACCCCTGAGCCCGAAGGCCTCTACGCCCCAAGCCCAAAGCCCCAAAAACGATTCTTTTCCTAGGCGGAGGCAAACAGACATCCTTTCAGACGGATGGCCCCAACACCCCAAAGCCCCGAGCCCTTCACGAAGGTTTATTGCAGGTTGTGGTACCTTAGGGCACGGGTTTGACAGTGTGACACAGGTCTTCGATTGTAAGGGTCTCATAAGCAGAGCTGCCTAATTCTTGCAGGGCCGTGCTCGTAGACATTTTTGAAAGTCCCTTGTTGAATCTGAAACTCCTTTGTCACAACGAACCCAGAGACTCCCTTCGCTCCTTAATTGCGGAACATATAGCTTAACTTATTGTAGGAACTCTAATATGTGTTGAGGCATAATCCTAAATCAAGAGGTTTTTGGGGGGTTTAGGGTTGAGGGCTCAGGTTTTAGGGCTCGGA